TTTTCCCTTTTTCTGGGATAACCTAACATTGATTTGGAATGAGTGTGTGCATGAATTTGGGAGCGTGTATAAAAACAAAACTAGCAAAATGTTTGTAAAACTTTTTGCTGTGTATGAGGAGTGCTAGAAACTGCAAAGTGCAATATTTTCCCTCGCCTTCAGATGTGGGCGCTTAGATCAATGCGGAAGAGTAATTTTCATTATAGTGAAAAATGTTGGTTCAAATAAATTTCTACACTTGCCATTTGCATGCTTGTTGATTTCTAATTAAAGATATTGGTTGTTTTCCGGTACTCTTTATTTGACTTTTTATTCAGTGCCTTGCCACTTTGATCCATATTTTCCAAGCTTTTCTGTAACAAGAGAACTTTTTCTGTTCTTTCTTGGATTTAATAATCTTTTCTATGTTGGCTTCTGTGTGATAAAAGAGATTTTTTCATGTCTCTTTCTAAACTACCTGTTTGTTGTTGTTTTGTTTGTTGAGACAGGGTCTTCCTCTGGTGCTCACTCTGGCCTCATACAGGCTTGCCATCCTCCTGCCTCAGTCCCCGAGTGCTGGGGTCCGGGTGTGTGCCACCACACCGGCTTCTTTCCGTGGCACTTCCGCTTTACCTCCAGACATGCACCTTCCGGCGCCAGGACCTTTCCATCCCACTAGTATGCTACTTCTGGTCTACATCTCTCCATATTCTAGATCTCATTGCAAGTTGTTGACTATTTGGTCTTCTAATTTCTGGTCTTAGTTCTAGTGTCCATCTATACTCAGGCAGAGCCTATAGATCTTACAGGTTATGGTCTAAAACTGCTCCTGTAGACTGACTTCCTCCTTTTCTTTCTGGCACAAAGGATTGACCCAATTCTTAGCACTAAGCTCTGCCCCTAGACCCTTTGGTAGTGTTATTTTGGGACAGGCTTACTACTTGCAGGCTGGTCAACTCGAACTTGCCAGCCTCCCTGAGTGCTGGTGTTATTGGAGTTCTACTGTGCCCACCTCCATGGCTGCTTTTTCCTGTTCTCTTGATGTCCAAGGCTTCTGTGTGAAGTGAGACCTTGGGTGGGAGGGGACAGTCGGCTCACTGCCCCTTCACGCACTGGAGGCAAAAGGGCAAGTGCGGCAAAGTGGTGTGGACAGTGTCAGGTGATCCAAAGGGTCATTTCAAGTCTCTTCCTCTCTCCCTTCTCCCTCCTTCTCTCCTCTCCCCCATACACCCTCTGCTAAGTAAGAGACATTCAGTTGGTGTTTGCTGTTAGCAGATTTCTAGACTAGCGTACTGATTCTCCCTTTTCTCAGAGTAACCCCTTGGAGCTTCCAGTCAGTGCTTCCAGGATTGTCTCCTTGTGGGATGCAGTTAACCCCAGCAACTTCTGTGACCTACGGTTCCGTCAGTAAACATCTTCCCTGCATGTCCTTGCCAGTCAGTCTGTAGCCATCAGATCATCTGCTTGGCCTGATCACTCATCCTGAGCCAGCCCTTGGGGCTGCCAGAATTACAGCAGACACCCTGCTGGCAACCAGAGCTGCAGATCACGGCCCCCAGCAGTGGAGGCCAGACCCTCAGCTGCGCAGGGGCTGAGGCCAGTGCCAGTGCCGTGTGAAACAGGGTCCCAGTAAGCTGTCCAGGCTGCGCTTGAGCTTAGCCCTCTTGCCTCAGGCTCCTGCATTCTGGGATTCATGTGTGTGTCACCATGCCCACCCTCTGTTGGGTCCCTCTTTTGGGTCCCTCTCTGTTGATGCTTTTTGTGAGTTTACTGTTAGCAGCTTCACTTTTACTGATGAAAGTCATATATCCCTTTTGGTTTAATTAGCAAGTAGCTTAGATATTCCTGTCATTTTCAGAAATCTAAAAAGCTACTCAGGGTGACATACAACCTGTCTGCAGCTGGGACATGGGCGGTCACGGATGCCAGACAGCCTTTCTTGCAGGGGAAGTGGGGCTCTCCTCCAGCAGCATGGCTGTTAGGACACAGCATGCAGTGTGCTATTTCTTCCACTATCATGACGCATAACAGAGATACACCATGAGGATGCCAGATAAGAGAACAGAAGCCACGGGAGGACTTGGGCTTCCAAGAGGAGCTGGCAGGGAAAGCAACAGAAGGTCACAGTGGCATTTGTCCACCCTGCCTCAGGATGTTGATGGGGAATGTGTGTTGAAACAGCAGAAAGGATGGAACTCTAGTGATTTTATGGTGTTAGTGTCTTCACAGACCATAGTGCAATACATCTTACCGTCATGAAACTACTCATTATAATAACCTTTGTGGCGGGAGTTACAGAGGAACGCTACTTTGTATTCAGCTTTCTCCTGTGAACCTAAAACTGCTGAACGTTTGTCAGAGGAATTAGTTCTTCTCCCCACAGCAACTGCAGGGAATTTTAGTGTTTGTTACTTAGAAGTACAGCAATGCAGACAGGCAGTCAGGCAGCAAAGAACACTGCACAGAGGCAGAATTGCCCCATCCTGGCTACTTCTGGCTTTGGGCAGAGGGCAGAAGGTAGGGTGATGGGGCCCAGGTGCACAGGCTGGGATGGAGAGGACTTGGGTGTGGGAGTGGCAGACGCTTGCCCCAAGGGGCTCCTGAGTCTCACTGACACAGTCTGCCACCTGCTCAGCCTCTGGATTACAGGACGAAGGATCTGTAGCTGTTGACTGACTGATAGATGAAGTACTGCTATTCATTAAACCAACTTTTAAAACTAGGTTGTGTTCTTGGGCATGGTATCAAGTCACTTGACAATATTCCATGGATGTAATTACCTTGGGGGAGTGCACGGATGGGCTTTCTCAGGTGACAGACATGGGACATCCCCCCTCAATTCTCCAATAACCTATCTCTGCTTAGTCTTTTTTAGCCCACAGGGTGGTAGGAAACACGATTATGGCTGCAGGAAATAATGGGAGGGTAAGGTACCCAGAAACATCCCTAGACCCCAAGTCCAAGCACAGATTTACAATGTCCATAGCTATACTCATACTAGAAACATATTTAATCATAGAAACAAAACTATTCTAAATACACTTTTACTGGTTTATAAATACTGATTTATAATAACCCCAAACTTTTTTTAAAAATCCAAAATCTTCAAGTTAAATATGTTTCAGGACAAGCTTGGATCATGTTTGTTGATAGTTTGGTCTATAGCCACCTGTGCATGCAGTGTCCATTTACCAGAACACATGGCTGTCCTCAGGCATGTCCGCAGCCCTGGCCAACAGGCCCACTTCTGGACACACAGGCTTTCTGGCACACTTGGTGTGGGCTTGCCTGCCCGAGCCAGTCTCTTCCAGGAGGGGCTGACTTGCCTGTAATTTGTAGCATTTCAAAAATGGTAGTCCAAAGGAAAAACACAAGGGTCTGCTGGGAAAATAAAGACAGCTTCATGTGCCATGTTCTCCTAAAACACTGACCAAAAATGTGCTCTTGATAATCTTGTGCAGATTTGAGTTTGTGCTTTGAATTCTTTCCAACAGTTCCTCTTGACTTGGATCTTCCAGGGTCTTGTTGGTTTTTTCCGGCCTGGCCAGCAGGGAGTTGTTTCTCTCGAGCTCCATAGACAGTGGTCCTTCTGCCTGGTGACAACTGGCCTTGCTGACGATGCTGACTTCCTCCTCATGAGCCATAAAGCTGTTCCTTTCTTCTTTCACCACTGTGGTCACAACTTAGAGACTGGCTCTGACTGGTGTGACTCACTTTGAGCTCAGTTAATGTCATCCTCCCACGTTGCTATCTGCCCCTTGTGGAAGTCACTTAGGGCTCATCACAGCCATTCCCTTGCACCTCGTGTGAAAACCAACTTTCCCTTTCTCTATCACAGGCTTCCTACTCAAGTGCTGCATACAGTATGGTGACAGCACAGACACCTCCCTGGTGCCTTCCCTTAGCACTAAGGGCACTCACTGCTCAGGGAGAATTTTTAATAGACACCCAGAGCAGCACTGGAATACTTTGTGCAAATAAGCCATTAGCATGTAGGACAAATATTTGTAACAGAAAAGCTCATCTTTGTTCCCTCAGACCTCGGGTGTTTCACACGCTGAGCATTTCTGCTCTCCTCTCCACTGACTTTCCCTTCCTCACCGCCTTTCTCTCCCAAGTCTTTGTTCTGTACATCAGTGACAAAACCCATGGCAGCAACAGTCAATACCTCCAATCTAGGGTAACAGTTACTTTTTTAAGATTGTCACTTGTTAGACATCTCTCTAAAACAGGAATAATTCAGCCCCCTTGCCGAGTTACTGAGAAGAAAAGCCACTAGCTCGGCTCTGCCTACACCCAGGTAGGTGCTGCACGATTTACAAGCGCTTCTTCTTGTGATCCACATGACCACCCGGTATAAAATGAAGCGCCTCTGGATCCTTTGCACCTCCACATAAAAAGATTACAAAACTGCACATTACAAATGCAGAAACACTGGGTGACTTGCCCGTGAACACAAAGCTGATGAGCCCAGGTGCAGGAGCCCAACTCCCAAGGAAACCAGAGCCGTGCCTGCGCTGTTCCTGGTCTTCCAACCTTACCAAAGCACATTGGCTCTCGGCTGGCAATAGGTTGGCCTACAGCTGACCACTCCGTGCTCACTCTTGCCTTTGGGACAGGAAACAGACGGGCTCACGGCTGAACACTCATCATGAATGTGTCTTGTGGCCTGTCCAGAGACCAGTCCCTAAACTGCAGTGGTCGGCCTCACTGCGTGCGCCGGGGGCATGGAACAGTACTCGTGATTGCATGGAAACTAACCTGACCTCTGTGTCAAAGCACTTTCCCTTGCCCCCTTTCCTTGACCCAAACTGCTGTGGCCTATTTCAAATACTGAGCAGAGCCTCTGGTTGTTAATTCTTTGCAGAAAGGCTCTGCAAATGAAAAGGAAAACCCATTGCACCGGCTGGCCCCTCCCACGCCACAGGCCTGCAGCTCCAGAAGCTGTGGTGTGCTTCCCAGGAGAAGCAGACCTGTAATGGTGTGTGTTGGGGGGGGGGGTTTGGGGGAGGAAAGGGAGCAGGTTGGCTGAGCGGCCCTCTGTGCCAACGCCAAGGATGAGCCGCTGAACGGGTCCCAGCGAGAGCCAGCAGCCCAGCTGAGGCCGGATTTTACGCTCAGGGCTTCACCGCCTCGCTGCTGCCACCTGGTGTCCGAGGCCGGAGCTCGTCCCCGAGTCTGACGGTGCCGCGCAAACACGGGGATCCAGGGCCTTCCGCGGCCCCACACCTGGCATCTGAAGCACAGCACAAACAGTTGAGTTGAAATCTCGGTGAGTAAACCAGAAATGGGCAACCGGCTCAAGACGGTCTTGTCAAAACAAGTCACAGGACTGAGGTATTTAAGCAAGTAACTGCCCGGGTGCCCTTGGAAAGGCCGGAGGCCCCCACTACCCCCGAGATTTAAGAAGATGAGCCTTGCTTGGTTTGTGTGGGGTTCTGAGAGTTGTAGCGAAGGCAGGGCCCTCCACGGTGCCCCAGGACCGCCGAGCTCAGCTCTGGACACTGCCTCTCCTCTAACTCAGTTCCAAATCCCTGACTACGCAGAATATAGTCCTAGCTACCAAACATCCTCCTAGCCTTAGTGCAAACTGTCACATGCTTCATGAGAACTACCTACTGTCCTATGGCGCCACCGTCCTTTCCACAATCTCTACTCTATCCTGAGCCTTACTGGAATGAGTGCTTCCCAGGTCTCTCTCCCTGAAATGGAAAGAAAACACTTAAAATTTTCTGTCCCACCCTCCCCCCACCTCCCACCGGCTAGGAACAGTGCACACAGCAGGCTGCAGATGCATAAACATGGGCCTCGGACTGAGCCAACAGGATCCCTGCTCACTGCAGGGTGAAGGCCAGCCTGGGCTACAAAGTGAGTTCAAGCCCAGCCTGAACTGCATAGCATAACCTTGTCTCAAACAACAAAAAAAAAAGCCATGGGCTTCACTGCATAAAAAGGCTGAACAACAAATTTTGTGAAATGCAATGTACCTTTGTTTAGATGCAGTCCTTTACAGACCAGCTATCCTGGGGGCCGCAGTAGTGGACTTTGGAGCCTCAGGACTTTCTCTAGCACCCAGCCTCCTGCAGTCAGGAAAGCCTTCTCTAACTCTTTGGTCCCCAGGCAGTCTAGTGCACTCAGAAACTCCCTACCACAGGCCTCACGCAAATGTTAAGGTCTCTGCACTGTTCCACATTTCTGTGTACTAATTAACCAGTAATACAATGTCTTCAGAAACTGGACGAGGGCCAGAAAACTATGCTACATACACCAAAAACATACCCTGCCCTCAAACAGGATTCTACCCAGCAATGCCAGTGGTGTCTGTTTGACCTGCATGTGTCAGCAGAAGCCACAGGTGCCCCTTCCTGCTCCCCCGAGCCCAGGCCAGCCCTTAGCAAATAGCTGACCAAGAGTAGTAGCTGGTGAGACAAACTGCAGACCTGGGACGAGCCAGCCACTGGTTTCTGCCTCAGCAGGCGCCAGCTAGAACCCAGAGAAAGGCTTCAAAAGGTTTCCTTGCTGCCTGCTAGCAGACAGGAGACAGAATGAACTACCCTTAGAGTCTACCCACTGCTGTCTTAGTTCACTTGATTGCTCAGGCTGAAGGGTGGCACCAGGAGGTTTAGTGGCTTCCCAAATCACAGCAGCCACTTCTCCAAGCCCAAACTTCAGCTGCCCTTCCAGCTCAAAGGGGAGAGAGCGCGAGCTTCCTAATGGTGCGTCTACACCTGCTGTCTTGTCCCCACGTCCGAGGTGGCACTCTTTCTTCTCTTCCACGTCTTTGTGGTCAGCATTGCTCCAGACGGTCACCAAGTACAGAGACACAGGCTTTCTGAGAGCTGTCAAAAGGAGACACACTGGTCGGCTCTCATGAGTTCAGAGAACAAAGTTGATGAGAGCTGGGAGCGATCTTAGCGACCATTCAGCCTAGTGCCTTTTCTTTTCTCCTTTTACAAATGGCGTGGAGTGGTGACAGGGTGCCCCAAATGACACACACAGAGTCAAGAACCCAGCTTGCTAACTGCAGCTACACCACTCTTTCTCTTGTTTTATGCTGCGCCAGAATCCAATCATAGTAACTGTCGCTGCAAGGGGGCATGGCCCGTGGAAGTGAGGCCAGCGATGTTCACTGGCCACTGAAGCATCACCCACAACACATCCTGAGGCTTTCCTATGTAAAAGGCTTCCCTCCAACAGCAGCAGAGTGGCGCTGGTGCACTGGGCCCGACAGCCCTGGTCAGTCCTGGTTAAGACTGTGACGTGTCCTAACCAAACGTCTAATTCTGGAAATGAGATACCTGGTACCTCCCCCTCTGTTGTTCATAGTGGTTTCTCCCTTGTGAAATACCAAAGAATCTGTCCACTGGGGTGTGGGTGGGGTTGGATCCATCCCCGCCCCCCCACCTACTGGCAGCACCCACGGGCACCAGCAGGGGACGCCGCTCGAGGGCATGTGTAGGAAGTACGTGGGGCAGACGCTGTGTTCTTGGGTGCTCTGTGCTCAGCATGAGACCCCTCATCCTCACCCGGGGTGTGAATCCTGCAGGGTTCAGAACCGCAGTGCTGTGTACAGGTGCACTGGGAAGGGTTTGCGTAGGCAGCCTCTGGACGGCACCTGCTGGGCCCCAACCACAAGGTGTAAGAAGACACATCTGTGCGATGGTTCCCTTCCACATCCGGGGCCACGGGTCTGCCTGGATGTCCCCCCTCTGCAGAGTCAGCCACACCGCCGACTGCTGGCTGTGCACTTGAGATGCAGAAGCCCGAGTCGCAGCCGGGAGACGTTATGCTTGCCCTGGTGGCTGCACACCAGACGGTTCCTCTCCTTCATTCAGGTCCAGCACAGAGGCGGCGGGAGCCCTCCCAGGAGCACCTCGGGCTCCAGGCCAGCCACCGCCAGGCCATTATCTCTGCTCCGCGGCTAACACATTCCCTTCCGCAATGCTCTGCAGCTGCAGCCTCTGACTCGCAAGAGTTCGGCTGCCTCGCCGACCCCCAAAGCCAGCCCCAGGGACAGTTCGTGCTGTAAGCAGGACCCCTGGTAAAGCCTCCTCCCCAAATAAGTTGATTTTGGCTTCTGCCTCGATGGCTTTGGCCAAGCTGGCTGCGTAGCTGTCCAAGGACTTGTGCACTTCAGCTTTCACATGGAGCAGAGAGTTCTTGGCAGCCTCTGGGGAAAAGGCAAAGAGGGGTTAGTGGAGGAGCCAGGCCCCACACCTATCCCAGAATACACCTGCTGCCTTCATGCCCAGCGAGGGAGCCCCCCTAGGTTCCCAGGCTGAGGTCCCTGACTGCTCCACGTACTATGCAGAGCCATTTCATCTGGTTTTAGTTACCTAAAGAGAGCTCAGCCATGCATGGTGGTACATGATAGGTTCTGGCCCTAGCATGAACTGCTGAATTATTTTGGTGGTCATCTAACATGGCTAAAGCCCCCAAACAACAGCTTGTCTTCCCAATGACCACTTCCTCCTCCTCCCCTACCCCAAGTCCTTTTCCACACACACAAGGGAGATCCCAGTCAACTCCTTCCAAGTAACTGAAACTGCCCCTTAGACCCTGCCCTTAGCAAAATCACATAAAAGTCTCAACTTTCTCTTTCAGGTCTGAGCATCTCCCTACCTCCCTCAGATTCTCTCCAAGTCTTCAGACTCAATAAAGGTCTCCTTTATCTTTCCTATCTCTTTACTGCACCACTGAAAAAACCTAATAGTACACACCTATAATCCCAACACTGAGAGACTGAGGCAGGCAGATCACAAGTTTGAGCCCAACCTAGGCAATTTAGTAAGGCCTTGGCTTAAAAAAAAAAAAAAAAAACCAAGCAAGTGACAGCCTTGTTTTAACCCAGCAGCGAGGGGTGTTCTGTTATGTCACAGTGTCACTGTCACAATGAGTTATTTCAAAAATGTTTATAAAAGTTTTAATAAATACTCTCTATTAATGCTAATTACAGTTTTGAAAGGGTTCTCTATTCTTTCACCTCCCTGGAACAGCACAGAGTACACAGCTATAAACATCCACATGTACACATTCTCTCCTCTCCAGAACCTCAGGGTTGGAAATGACATTAAAGGTTCAAGCACCCTCCCCAGGATAAGACCCCTGACAGGCAGAATGAAAAGAGAAGGAAGGTGGTGATGTCACCCCAGTGCCCATTATGATGAGACTCTTTTTTTCTGCCTATGGGGGTGCAGGTGGAACGCTTATGGAGAGCAGGGCACCAGATGCCATGTGCCTGGGAGATGGAGTCACTCAGCTGCTCAGGCCCAGCTTTAGATGGCTGCGTACTCTGCATCAGTACCTGGGGACACACGTGAGACCAGCAGTCTGGGAGACCCAGGGCTGCTGAAGCAGGCACAGGGCTCCTCTCCCCAAAGTTCTTTGAAGCCCTCAGTGGCAGAAACCAACCTTTGATCTGCTCCACTTCATCTTCAAATGTCACCGAGCTCCTCCTTTTGGGCGGGCATGTGCAGTGGGAGGGGGCATTGTCCTCTGATGTCCAGTCTTCCAACAGCATCACGTCTGTTCCTAAGACCAAGGGCGGAAGTGAAGTATGGCCAGCAACACCGAGCCCTTGTCCCCACCCCTACCCTTCAACCCTGTGCCTAGGCCACCCTGTCATTCAGTCCTGCTTCTGCCCATCTGGGTCATGCGGGGGATGGGCCCCAGGGAGTGGGGAGGGTCCTATTTGCAATTACTGTTTCACCTTGAATTTCTATCACCATGGGTAAAATATACTGTGCTATATAACCATGGAAAACTTGCTAATTTCACGTTCTTTTGGGGAGCTTCAAAGGAGTGAAAAACATACCCTGCAAGAGTGTGGAAATAAAGGCAGAAAGTCCTTTCAGAGAACCAAGCAGAGCAGGCCAATGAGACAGAGAGGGCACCAGGCAGCACGACCAGTGTGGGATTTGTCACTCCAGACTGCCCAGGCCTGCTCCGGGACCAGCCTTGTTCTCACTGTCCAGCTTAACCCACCAAGGCTTCAGCGCTCAGGGAATCAGGGAGACCAGGGGGCTGGAGCCACCCTCCTGCAGAGCCCCTTGCCAGGCGTGACAGTGCATTCATGAGCAGACTCAGGACACGGTGGCCAGCACCAGGGCCAAAGTGCGCGGTCACAAGGTCTAGGGGGTGGGCTCGTTGCACAGTATTAGCCTAGCTCAGAGTTGTGGGAATCATGATCTGGCCCACGCTGAAGATGTGCAGCGCGGTGCTAGGCAGGCCTGGAGCTACACCCTGGAGCCACTGCTCAGCAGGATGCTGTACAAGAGCTCACACTCGGGTCTGTGGGACACCAAGGCTCACAAGTTCTTCTGCCTAAAATGCTGGCTTTGTCCCATCACTCCCGACTCCCTGCCCCTGGAGGCACATTCAATGGGCACAGGGTGGCATTTACTGCACCCAGCAGTGCTGGGTACAGGTTCTGGCAAGGTGAGGGAGAGCCACGCAGAGGGTGAGCACCTCCTCTGCAGAGTGACTAGGAGGCCACCTGCGCAAGCTTCCTGGCAGGCCCGGGTGAGGAAGGGCTTCTGGGCATGCTAGAGGCTTTGTCCAGCAGGGGGCTGAGCAGGGCTCCCAGCCATGGAGTCTCCTCCTCCTCCCACCTTCCTTGGGCACAGGAGCATCCCCCCTGCCACGCCAACTGGAAACTCCAGGGTCTGGAAAGGGACTGAGCAGCTTGCCTGGCACCCCATGGCTCCTCACAGACCAACAGGGAGCTGGGAACCAGGAAGGTGGACCCATGCTAGGTTGCCCAATGGGTCTTACCAGGTATGACTGAAAAACACAGTGTGTGTTTAAATTTTTAAAAATATATTACAATAAAAGACACATTGTCCTGAGTCCTCCTCAAAATACTCCCTCTCCCTTCAGACACCCTTAGACCACTGTCCTTGCAACTGTCTGCAGCGGTTCTGGAAGTCTTTCCTGAGTGTGCTTAGCTGCGCTATCCTGGCTGCCATTTGAACTGATTCAAAACATTTCCCCTTCAGGTGCATTTTGACCTCAGAGAGTCAGAATGTGCCCAGCGCCAGACCTGTGAATGAGGCTGTTGGGGATAAAACACCACGATGTTTTATCTGACAGAAGTTGCTATTTATGTTTGACTGAGAAGTGCTCATAAAATACAGTAAACATTTAAACTGAAAAATATGTCATAGTGGGCTGGGGATGTAGCTCAGCGGCGCAGTGCCTCCCTAGCAAGCTCAATGTCCTGAGTTAGATTCTGGTACTACATACTGCCACTAATGGCCCTTGGAATACTGAAAAATGTCAAACACCTCATTTTAAATACTCATTTTTCTCGTCTTTGGCCATGTGTCTTTTATTGTAGTATGTTTTTAAAATTTAGACATCCACCATACCTTCGATCACCCCTTGTGTGACAGATTAACATCTTTTTTAATTTTAATGTTTCAAAGGCTTTTCCTGACTCCCAACCTCTTAACAGCACCGTGTGGCACAGAGAACAGGAACTGAGATGCCTGTGTGACAGAGGAAAAAACTGAGGACTGAAACGCTGAGAAGCTGAAAGCCGGGCCTGAAAGGCTGCTGCACACCACTGGGCACCGTCCGCCTCGCTGTAGCTGGATACCCACAGGCACAGGTTAGGTAGGGGCACTTACCTGAGTCCTGCGAGCAGCTGAAGCCCGTGTCCCCAGTGCTGCTGCTGTGTCCCAGGGGCTGTCCGCCAGCCATGAGTGCTGTGAGGTGTGGGGACAGGCCCAGGTCTGAAAGGTAGAGGCGGCAGTGACAGATGGATCGACTCCGCGAAGCACCAACCCAGTTCCGCATCCCCACTGCCCGGACCTCTATCCTCCATTCTGCTTGCTTTTTTTTTTTTTTTTTTTTTTTTTTTTTTTTTTTTTTTTTTTTTTTTTTTTTTTTGGAACTCAGGTCCTTGTGCTTGCCAGGGAAGCACTTATTCTACTGAGGCATGCAAGACCTGGGATTGAGCCCTGGTCCCTGTGTTTGCCAAAGCAGGTACTTTAGTCTGCTGAGCTATCTCATGGGCTCTATTTTACTATGTAATCAATGCAAATCTGTACATTGTTTTGTTTTGGTGGCATTCCAGTGCGTATAGTAATGAAAGTATTATTTCTCAGATACATGCTGCTTGCACTGTAACTGTGCAGTAACTGTCCAAGTGTTAAAGATCAGACGCTGACCTTTGTCCCACTCAACCTGGGCTAGAGATGTGAGACGTCTTCCCCCAAAAGCCTACCTGAGAGGAAACCTTGCAAATACTGAGCACTGGGTGAACCATCTGCTGCAGCTGAGAAGCCCACCTGGCACAGCCACCTCACCCTGGGCTGCCTAGCACCTGCCGGAGCTCTGGGATTAAAGAAGATTGAAAGACAGAGGACCAAGAAGCAGAGGTGGAGGAAAAGGAAAAGATTGGTAATCAAGTCTAGTTGGGAGCTGCTGAAGCTGGAAATTGGTCACAGGTGTGAGGGCAGGCCAACGCTACAGTGCCTAAAACAGTCGAGCTACCTCAGTCTTGAAAAACTCATCTTGCCTGGTCAATGTCGCTATTTGTTACTAGGCAACCCTGTGTCACATGATACTAATTTAGCAAAGGTATAAATAACCGTCCCTGTCACTACTGTAGTTCTGGGGGTCGTCTGCCAATCAAGCAATGGACCACCACCTGACCCAGCTCTTCTATCTTTTCCTCATCCCTGTGCTGTAGACCAACAGATCCCTACAGAGCACCCTCATAAAGCTGAAAGATAATGACTCCATAAAAAAAGAGCTGGGGTTCTAGAAAAGGAATGCGCACATAAAAAGCTCCTGTCAAATTAAAAGTGTAGGGGAAAAGTCAAACGCCTCTGATCTCAGATTTAATGATGGCTACTGTTTGAACACACCCCTCACGTCTGTGTGCTGGTAGAGACGAATCATCCCCAGGGCAGCCGGACTGTGAAGTGGGGCCTGGTGAGGATGAATGTCACTGTACAGAGGTGGCTTAGGGACCTCAAGAGTGAGCTTTGTTTAATAGTGACCTCTCTCCTCTTGTTCTGGCTGTTCCACCTTCCCCAGTAGGCCCATACACCACAAAGGGCCTTGCCATCTGCAAATGGTGTCCTGGGACTGGCCAGCTTCCAAAATATACACCCAATAAACCTCTGTTCTCAACAAATCGCTTGGCCTCAGATATTTTGTTACAGTAGCAGAAAATGGATTAAGACAATGAATGATGGGCAATAAAGGAGCATCTTGATTCTCTTGTAACAGTCCCAGATAGGAGAAGACCCCACGTATCTTAGGGCTTCTGAGGCTGTGAGGTGACACAACACACTCTTTCCCTCCTTTCCTGAGCCAGGAGGAAATGGGGAGGAGGAGTGGGCAGGCACAGCAAGCTGCACCCAGCACTTCCTTCCCTCACCTCTGGGAATCCAGAAGGAAGCGGTGTTTTTACTTCCCTCTGCTCTGCACCAGGGATTGGTTCCAGGGCTGGGACCAAGAGGACCTCCAACATCTCTGCATCTGGCCACACCCCTTGTATTCCTTGCCACAGAACATGACTGTGATCAACAGGAGGCCAGCAGGGCAGCAGAACCTACAGGGCCATCCTCTGCCAAGAGGGTTAGCAGAAGCCACAGTGGGTTTTGGACAAAAGCTCTGAGGCTACAGTGAAATGGAGCCAGACCAGTGTGGCTCAGGGGAAAGATCTGGAAACAGGGCAGCCATGTGGCACCACTTCCTACTAGAGAGAGGACACTGTTTCCCTAAGACTATTCCCATGAACCAGTGCCACCCTCCAACAAAGCAAAATAAGCCAAACAAAACAGAACACAGAGACGGACAGGCCCAGGGACCAGGGTGCTGCGCGAGGAGCATACAGTGGGTCCAAGTCACTTCTGTCCTCCAGCAGCTAAAGGAACAGGCAGTGCTCCATGGGGAAGCAGGCATGCTGGAGTAATTGGCAGTCCTCAGGCCACCAGGAAAAGAGCACAGAAAAGCAGCAGAGGAAGCCTCAGGGCTCTTGGTCATGCTTTCCTTCTTCTAGCCAAGATCACTCAAAGAAGGATCTTCTGGGGGCATCTACCTCTGAGTAAAGGAGAGGATGACTAATGCTCTGCCCCCAGGGAGAGCGACACATGGCTCAGCCCCTCAGGCCCAGCTGGCTGCAGAGTGGGATCGGCTATGCACAAGGCTGAGGGCCGTCTGCCCGCCCTTCCTACTCAAGCTCTCTCCCTTGACTGGCGCAGTCACTGGTCAGCCTCGTCTCTGCGCTGCGGCATCCTCAGACCTCATGTCAGCATGAGGCTCACCTTCTGGCACCAGAAGCCACAGCCCAGCAAGGGCTCCTACCTGGCACCTCCCAGAGGCCCTGGGGGTGCAACTCCTATGGGAGCCCTTCCTTGGGCACTTGCTGATGTGACTGCAGGAGGTACTGGTAGCCAGCTATGCCTGGCACTGCAGGGAAAGCTCCTGCCGTTGGGATGAACAAAAGGGAAAGTGGCATCCAGCAATGATGGCTGAAATCTGCTCTGCATGAAATAACCACTGCCCTGAGCTGAGGAGACAGTGGGCACGGAGCCAGCAGGGAGGCTTGGGGGACTCAGGTAGTGCACTCCACCTCTGCCAATAAGCACTGTCTAAGGAAGCTTCTCATTCCATCTACAGATTTCCTTGCAGAAAACTCTCCAGCTACCCATGGAAACTGAGGCTAAGACCACTCAAACAGAGCCTCTGGGCATTTCTTGCTGGGTATGTGCAAACGCTAGGGGCCCCACGTGCCTGAGGGCAGAGGAGATGGCCAGGACACCGCATGTGGCAGGAGAACTGACCTGGGCTTAGGAAGAAGCTGCAAGTCAAAGCCCTGCTCACAGACAGTGTGAGGCAGGGCCTGGCTGGCCATGGTGAGACAGACAGTCAGACAGACAGTCAGACAGACAGACAGGCACGGGGTGGAGGCCAGGGCTGTTCCTTGCCATCAGGAAGAAGTGGGCAGCATTCCTGGCTTGAGTGGCACAGGGTGTGGCACTGTGGTTGGCCTCTAGTCAGGCCTTGTTCCACGTAGTATCTGTGGCACTGCTGCCGCCCGCTCAGCGATTTGGCCCTACCCACCCCACCCAGGAGCTGGCTGCCGCCCTAGGATCTCTCCAGCCCAAAGGCATCCCACAAGACTGTTCCTTCCTCAGTGAGAGGAGACGCTGGCTGCTGGGCCAGCCACGCTAACCACAGCTGGTGCTGCGGCCAGCTCTACTGGCCTCTCACAATCTGGGACAAGCACAAGTGACCGGCAAGGAAAGCCTGGCAAAAAACATGTTTCTCTTCATTCCGTGTCCTTGTTCCTCCTCCATTCTCTTTCCTCATTTTTCTTTTTTCCTTCCTCACTCTTAACTTTGTTGGAATGGGAAGCACCTGTCACTTCTGGCCCGGGAGACAAGTGACTTTACACACTGTGAAGACGTTAATCAGAGAAGTGGAGCCAAATACAGCAGGCACCCTGGCTTACAAGTGGGGGCATCTCAGTGGGTTTCAATACTGGCATACAGAGGACATTTTTTTTTTTAATTTTATGATCCAACTAAGTCTCAGACTTCCTTCCTGTAACTCGAAATAGCACTCCACCCACCTGTGAATACATCAGAGAGGTTGGTGAGTGGTACCGCCACAAGGAAGCCTGCCAGTCACCGCCACCAGGATGGCTCGTGGTGTTCAGGAGCCATTATTCCCTCTGCCCTCCTCAGAGGAAGGTGAGCAGCCTCTATTTCACAGGCAGGAAACAGGAACTAGACAGTCTGGTGCATTGCCCAGCGTCACACAGCACGCGTCAGAACTGCAGCCGGAATGTGCACCCTCAGCATCTTCTACCTGGCTCTGGCAGGTGATGGTCTCCTTTAAGGGCAAGCCTAAAACCCCTGCCACGCGGCTGCAGATGGGCACAGCACGTGCTGAGGACCAGAGCCCCTGTGCACAGTCTGCAACCGGCTCCTCTGCTGTACTTCGCTACTACCAAGAAAACAGTACCTTTATACTGGAGAATCCTGACCCCACCTGACCAAGAGACTCAGGGGTGTCCCTGCTGAGCCACCAAGAGCAGCCTTTGGGCCATTCTTGGCAAAAAAAAAAAAAAAAAAAAAAAAAAGTATGACCTCATTTTAATGAGAAGAAAGCATCTGATGAATACAAATGTGACCACATTGTAGAGACTCTGAGCAGCACTCTAAGAAAGGTCAGAGGAGAGTGCAGCGGGACTTAGTGGTGGGGCACTTGCCCAGGATATGCCACGCCCTGGTTCCACTCTTGTGCTGTGGTTATGCAAGAGGTCAACACCAAGGAAAGTTCTCTGTACTGTTTTTCCAACTCTCCTATAAATCTAAAATCATTTCCAAATAAAAAGCTAAAAAAATAAAGAATCCAGACCCTGTGGAGAGCAACCCACTAGGATCTCATCGAAGGTAGGGTGACTGACTCTGGACCAGCTGCCTTAGCCACAGGACTGTGACATTCTCATGCAGGACTGAGATGGGTCACTCCTTCGCTCATCAGAGACCAGGCAGGAAACTCCTGCCCCAACAGGGAAGGCAGAGGGAAACAGGCTTGATGAGGGACCCAGGTGGGGAGGGAGTACTGGACAGCAGCCACTCTAACAGGAGAGGATCTGGGGTGCAGATGCAGGTCCACTCTGCCTAATGCCTTGAGGAAGCACACTGGTCTCCCATTAGCAGGGCCTGGAGCTGCCACATAAAGGAGGAAAGCATCCTGGGGCTCACGGTGACCACTCTCGGGTATTCCCTTCCCACAGCAATCTACACTGTCAGCCCTGGGCCACTGTCAGCCTGAGGACTCAGGTGCATGGGCCAGAGCCACTGAGTGGAAGACCCCAGGTGAGGTCTGCCCTGAGCTGGGAAGGCCCTCCTCCCAGGTGCCCCAGTTACCTGTGATCCTGTTGGAGATACTGAAGAGCCGGGACGTCCTCTGCCGCTGCACAAATGGCTCCCGGTAATACCGGTCCCCAAAGCACATGCCCAGGAGCTCCTTGCGGACTGTCTTGTTCCAGAGGCCATAAATCAAGGGGTGGCAGACAGCACTGGTGAAGGAGAGCCATGTGGCCCAGGTCTCTAGAGTTGGGGAGACGTAGTTCTTCCCCCAGAGTGCCTCAGAGGTGATGACCACCATGTAGGGGCCCCAGGTGACCAAGAAGGCGCCAAGGACCACCAGGATGGTGATGAGGGCCTTACACTGGTTGGCTGAGTAGACCACGCCCTGAAAGGTGTTCCTCCGGCTGCCTGACGACGAGGTGGAAGTGCTGGAGTTCTTCCTCCCACTCCTCTGTGCGTCCTCCTCCACGATGACCACTGTGCCACAGTGCACCTTTCGGGCCTTGACCCGGGCAACGCGGAAGATGAAGCCATAGCACACCAACATGATCACGAAGGGGAACAGGGCACACCAGATCTGCCAGAAGGCTGTGTAGCCGGGCTCCCGGTGCCAGGCGGCCACACACATCCACTTGAAGTCATCAAACTCCACCGATGACCAGCCGAACAGTGGGGGCAGGCAGCCAACAAGGGAGTGCAGCCAGATGTAGACCAGCGCCATCACGGCCCGGTTCCCCGTGATCTTCATAGGGTACACCATCGGGTACAGCACGGCGTAGTAGCTGCAAAGAGGAAGGGAGAAGCAAGAGAGGAGTCAAAGGCAAAAAACATACCAAGACAGGGATCCTGCTTTCCCAGGGCAGGGGCACATTGACCCAGATGACCAGCTGTAGTAATGGCTTCTAAAGGGGGCGCCTTCTCCCAGCGCTGCCCAGAAAGGCCACAGGCTGTACCACGCTTTTCCACTCAGAAAGGTTCTTCAGCAGGAAGCCACTGGACACCAGCAAGGTCACAGAGCTCAGACAGCCCTGTGTCAAGTCAGCCTCTGTCTCCTATTTGGGGGTGCAGGTACCCTCAAGGCCTCTTCAGAGGTCCTGAGTGACTGACTGTGCATGGCAGATCGGTTCTGTTGCAGATCAGTTTTCAGAGGAATCAGTAAGAAAGAGCATGATGTCAAAGACCTATTGGCTCCACTCCCTCCGTGGACATTTACTGAGATCCGGCTGTGTGCTGAGCCGGGTGATGGGCCTGGGAGGCACAGGTGAGGAGTAAAGGACAAGACAGACATGAGCAGAGGGTGCCAGCCCAGGGACGGAGGATGGTGAGCAGCAGATGTACCATTAGCCTCATTTTCAGAGGAGGACAGAGGACACAGAAACTGAGAAAGGCTGAATCATCTGCCGCAAAGTGTGAAAGAAACAAGACCTAAACCTGAGCAATCTGCCTCTGTGGTAATTGCCTCTGTGGCGATTCTCTGCAAACCACCTTGTCCAGAGTCCTGGAACCAAGGGGCCATTCCCATGCTCTCGGCTCTGTGACTGAGGAGTAGGCAAGAGTTGGCAGGCAGGACAGCAGGGCTACAGCAGGTTTCCGGAGGAGCCACACACAAGGCCAGGGTCTTGGAAGGTTGTGGGTAGCAGCTCAGGACCTGGTAGACAGAAAGCTACCTCAGCTAGGTGCACAGGGGCTCTGTGGGGGGTGCCCACACCCAGGTGTACGTCTGCAAAGGGCGCACAGCCCTGCGGAAGAAGCAGGCGTTGGACAGAGGCCCTGCTGTCTACTCACCATGACACTGGGGAGCTGATTTAACCTGATTTTTTTTTTTTAAACACAGGGTCTCACAATGTAGTCCAGACTCATAGTCATCCTTTCTCAACCTCCCCAGTGCTGGGATTATAGGCATGTGCCACCGCACCTGATTTCAGTGGCCAGCACAACACACCTGGGGTTCCAGGTTCCAGGGCCAGCACAGCATGAGGTACTGGGGATCAAACTCAGGACCTCGTGCTTGCCAGGCAGGTGCTAATTCCGCCAAGCTATCTGCCCAGCCCTGAATTAACCTCTCGGAGCTTTAGTTCCATCTCCTGTGAAGTGGGAGCTATAGAACCTGCATCCCAGGTCAGCTCTTAGAATAGACAGAGCAGAGACACCCTGGCTTGTGCTGCCCCTTGAGTGGCAGCAGGCAGGGCCTGACCCCTCCTGCCCACCAGCTCTCCCATCCTCCGTAGGGTCAGGACCCCTGCAGCGCTCTGCCCCCACTGAGCCTCCATGACCCATGTGGACCCTGGGCCCTGGGGGTGCCCCAGCTCCTGAGGGCAGCCTCCTTCCACTGCCAGGTGACCAGCAACATCACCCTGGCAAGTCAGGAAGTGTGCAAGGAATCTGCGAGAATGGGAGGAGCTTGCAAGAGATTTCCTTCACAGCTAAGAAGACACAAGGCCGAGACGTCCACTTTTCCCTACCTCCCCAAGGAGCATATGTGGCCGGGCCCTCAGGATGCAGGGCGACCAGCTAGGTAGGCTGCCTGGGCAGGCCAGCTATTAGCTACTGTGCACCCCTGACCAGCCCTGGCCTGGCCATCACATTAGCAATGATGATTAATAAACTGTCCTCCTCCAGACTGCTTTCCAGCCAGTCTCAATGCCCCATCACTACCAGAGCTGGTGGTAAGATTTCTCCTTTTCTGTGACAAGTTAACATAGTATGTCCCTCCCTGACTAAGGCTCTGGCATGAGCAGCTGCCACTGTACAGCAAGTGATTTCTTCTGGGGAGAAGCAGAGAGTCGGAGCAGTGGTGCTGGGTGCTGTGCACAGCCTCACCCATCTCCTCTGAGGGGCCTTTCAGTTCTTTCAGGGGCGAAAGATGGATTTACACACACTGAAGTGCCTGAGTCCATACCTCTATCAACCTATATTTTCACATCTTCCTATAAAATTGTGTATTTTTAATTGCAGAAAAAAACTTGTTCATTTGTTTTGTTTTACAGTGCTAGAAATTGCTTTAGATACTAGGCAAGTGCTCTCTCACTGGGCTACAGTCCCATCTCAAAACTACCCTTTGCAGCATGAGTCCGTGTGTGTAATAACAGAAAAGAGGCACACACTACCATATGAGCTAATATACTGGGGAAGGGGCTGGTGACGGAAAGGCAGTTCAAGAGCTTCTGGAGGACTGGCATTGTGGTGCTAGCTAGACAGGTGTGCCCAGTTTATAAAAATTCATCAACTTATTCTTTTTTTAAAAAAAATGTATTCAGGACAGGGTCTACAGGGTCTCACTATGTAGACTGGACTTGTAGTGATCTCCCAAGCTCCAGGATTACAGGCTAGCGCCACCATGCCCAGTCTCGATCGCCATTTCAGCACGCCCCAGAGGCGGGGCTGGAACCCTGGCTATTGCGCTCTACCTAAGCAGGCACTTTAGTCCGCTGAGCTATCTGGCCTGCCCTCATCAACCTATTCTTTTAGAATACATACAGTTAGCTGGGCATGGTGGACTGCCATGAGCTCGAGGCCATCCTGGGCTGAATAGTGGGTTTAAAGCCAGCCTGAACTGCATAGTGAGACCCTGCCTCAATATATAGCATATAATAATAAAATTTAGGGTTTTTGGTTTTTTTTAAGCCACAGTGGGGCCAGAGACATAAGCTCAGAGGCATAAGCATCTACCTGGCAAGCACAAGGACCCGAGTTTGATCCCTGACCCAAATGTCGTGCGGTCTTGGCCTCAGATGCCCAGGCACCCACTGTGCAGCCCCAGAGCTGGATGTGGTGGCACACACCTATAATCCTGGAATTCAGGAAGTTGAGCCAGGAGGATCTCTTTGAGTTTGAGACCAGTCTGGGAGCTACAAAACTGAGTACAAGGCCAGCCTGAACTGCACAGTGAGACGCTGTCTCAAAATAAAATAAAATAAAAATCCACAGCATCATGGTAATCTCCAAAATGCCTTTTTCAAACTGACACCTCATTTAGGCCTACTTTCCAGTTGAAAGAAGAGGAAAAAACAGGTTAGAAGCAGCTCCCTATTCCCAGGCAGGTTAGTGCAGGCCCAGAGAGGGGGGCTGCTTTTACATCCTGAACTCCTGTCCCACCTTTCCTTCAGTGACTTTATTTTTAGCCACCAGCCCACACGCCATCCTTTGCCCCCAAAGCAGCTTTAATAACCTCACAAATAACTGAGAAGCTGGAACCCGGAAGGGGCTCCTGATGCATCCGTCTCTCTCAGGCCATAAAGCGAGCCACTTCGGTAGCACCCCTGCTTTCATACGATGTCTTCACTAACAGCACAAAGGCTAAGCCTACTTCAGCTACCTCTGGGCAAACACGCTGACTCACACCAGACAATCTCCCGAGAGCTCTATGTGCACCGCAACAAGCCACCCTGTCCTTCTAGCTGCTTTCAAATGGACTACGCGACTCAGAGGTCCAGATTCAGCTGCCGCAGTGTGGGATGAAGACAGGAGAGATGCACTTAGTGGGCCTGGTGCCCTGGGGGAGAGGCCCTCCTTACAGCGCTGCAGCTGCAGGAATGATAGTCACAAGAGCAGTGCCAGTGGAACACCCGCCAGGCGGGCTGTTTTCCTGCAGCTGGGTTAGGACCCTGACACCTAAACGGTGACTTGCACTCCAGTCAGCATTTCTTTGTAATACTCTGCCTTTGCTCTCTTCTTAGGGCGCTACACCATGCCCTTCAGGCTCATTTCTCTGAACAGTGGGACGGACTTATGTCTTTTCATGTGGTTTTGAGGTTCAAATCCAGTCTTGCACATGCCAGGCACACCCTACCCCTGAGCCACACCCCAGCCCCGAGAGCTTTCTTTCACTAGGAATCCCGGCTGGGGCTGATTCTGTTCCCTGGGGATGCCTAGCAGCCAACCACCACGGCACTGGCATGTGGGGAGTAGGGGCCAGAAAGGTGCTACAGACGCAGTGTGACGAGCCAGTGCCTGGCCACTGCTGGAGGAGAAGGCCTGAGCTCAGCTGCCTAGCTGTGGGCTGGACAGGCCACCCCCACATCTAGTGTGGGGCCTTCCACAGAGCAGGCACCCAACCAGTATCCTTAGCATGGAAGAACAAGGCATTAGCAGAGGCAAGCTCTGTCAGACGAGTACAGTGATACATGATTTAGGACACGTCATGCTCACTGGTGAAGAGCCCCCGTCACCATGCAAACACCTGGCTGATGGAGCCACATGCAGCCTACTGGGGCACCAGCTACAGACCCTGGCCTGGTGCTCCCAGCACTCACCCAGACGGCTCTGAATCCCATGACTGGCAGGGGCGTTCCAAAAGTAATGCTTTTTTTCAGTGTTGGGGATTGGACCCGGGGCCTCTGCACTAACCTACAGCCCCAGCCCAAACCTAACTTATTTATTTTTATATGAGATAGACTCTCATTAAGTTGCCAACTTTCCCAGGCTGGGCTCAAACCCATCATCCTCCTACATCGCCCTCCCAGAGCGTTGGGATGATACACGGGTGCTGCCAAGCCCAGCTAAAAAGTAACACTATTTTTTTTAAAAACAACAGAACAATCATGAGCTCCCTTGCTTCTCCTCTGCAAAGACCTTCCAATCTCTTTTGTCAGTGTTATACACTCAGTCTTTAGACACTACTGACTGTGGCTACTGAACAAACATCCGTAAAACTTCCCAAAGCCCCACTTGCCTGTACTACGCCAAGAATCCTGAATCTGCAGAGTTCATACCCCCTGGAAACATGACTCCACAGACAGAGGTGCTCCTCACAGTGTTCACAGAGCCACAAATTCATGAAGCCACCTAAATCCAGCCCCAGGGACTGAAAGCACTTCGTCCCAGGATGGAATCCCACATAAGAATCAGGATCTCATGCTCCGAGAACATCTGTAGTGGGCAGATGTTCACCGACAGGGTCCCAAAACTATATGCACCATGGGCTTACTTCAAAAGTTTACTGTATACAACCAAACAGTGCTGGAGGGAAATACATGAAACCATAAACAGGGAAGGCTTCTGGTTAATTTATGAGTTTCTGCCTTTATTTATGAGAGTGTGCCTTTTACTACTGGAACAAGCAAAGCCATTTAGAGAGATGCATTGATTCACTCCATCTTGTAGCCCTGTTCACTGGACATAGCCCCAGTGAGCTCAGTGGAATCTGGCCGTGGGTGCAGTGGCAGGGGCGGGGGGGGCATCTATGTTCCAAACGCACCATCCACCTACTGATCTTCAGCTGAGTCACCGTGGTCCCCAGACAGCCACCTCACTGGCTAGAGCCCTCTGTGCTTGCCCTGACCCATTTCTGGTACATATCACAGACCTTGCATCCACACCCCACCCAGATCTGGCCTCATGAGTCCCCCCTCTTGCCTGTGATGAATGGAGTGACCCCCCACAAAGTGGAAAGTCGCTGCCTGAGTCCTGAGACCTGTCCAACTCAGTCAGGGAGGGCACCTGAGGCACCTGTGAGACCCTCTCGTGTGCCAGCTATACTGCAGACTGAAGCAACTTGGGTTTTGAAAGCCAGATGTGGTGGTGCACACCTGTAATCCCAGAACTCTGAGAGGCTGACGCAGGAGCATCGGGAGTTGGGGCCCAGCCTGGGCAATTAAGTAACTTACTGAGAATCTGTCTTGAAATAAAAAGGGATGGGGGTATAGCTCACTGAATAAACCCTAACTTAAATCCAAAGTACTGGGGGAAAAATAGCACACTCCGTCCTCCTGGTCACCACTCCTTTCCTGCTGTGGAGAAGCAGGGGGCTCCAATCAAGGCTCTGGCCATTAAGCTGGCCTGGACTAAGGCAAGACACAGCCAGCTCTTCTGGGGAGGAAGAGTAACTGAGTCCGAAGGCCTGGGCCCACCACCTCCTCTGACATTCACTTTCCCTGGCTCTGTCTCTTCACCTATAAGCAATGGAACCTCTTTTTAAAAAACTAAGAGACCCAGAGCGCAGGCCCAGGCCCAGGGAGTGAGTGAGATGACCCGGGGCCCACGGATCCTGAATAGACCCAGAGCCCAGTCCCGGCATGTGAGTGAGACCACCCAGGGCCCGAGGATTCTCATTCGACCCAGAGTGCAGGCCCAGTGAGGAGCCCTTCAGCAGAACTCCCTGCAAAGAGGCTAGAGGCAAGATCCACCCAGCTGGTTCAGGAGCAGAACATCTTGCCAGAGAGACACAAAGGGTTCAACTCTAACGGCTGCAGCAGAAAGAAGTGGAGCACAGCAACCAGAACCAAACAACACCCATCTGGAGGAATCTGAACTTCGTAGATCCGGACCTGGTGCTAAGGTAATAACTCTATCTAAGCTCTACACCAAAGGTCAGAAGACAGTGGTATACAAAATGACAAAGAGAAGGAACAAAATGCAGTCTCAGGCCCCGAGTCCACCCAGTACAACTACAGAAGACACTAGTACTGAGGAAACTGGAAATCACACACCAGATATCTCTGAAATAATAGCATTGGAAGTAAAGAAACAACTGCAGAAAGGTATAGAAGAAATTAGATCAGAAGTAATTTCTGAACTAAAAAATTTAGTGATAACTATAATCAAAGAAGTACTAAGTACTTCTAAAGAACACACTGATCAAAAAAATAGAGCAGAATATAAAAATGATGGAACCCCTGAATAAGCAATTTAGGAAAGAAATAGAATGTATGAAACAGGTTCAAAGTGATATACAGGAAATTAAAACCTCAATCACAAGCTGGAAAAACCATTTGCGGGAAAGTGAAAATAGACTTTCTGACCTGAAAGATACCATTGCAGCTAGTGAAAAAGTAAGAAAAGATCTCTTTAAAACAACTAGGATGCAGGAAAAAATAATTCAATACCTGCAAGACGATGCAAAGATGAACAATGTGAGACTAATAGGCATCAATGAGAAGGAAGGAGTCAATACAAATGATATAAAAAGAATATGGGCAGAAGTAATAGCAGAAAACTTCCCAAATATGGGGCAACAATCTGACATTCCTGTAATCGAAGCATATAGAACTCCAAATAACATCAACCCAATGAAAACCACACCCAGACATATAATAATCAAGATCCCAGAAATTCAGCACAGGAACAGTATACTAAAAGCCACTAAAGAAAAGAAACAGATCACATTTAAAGGAAAACCCATCAGAATAACGGCAGATTTTTCTTCACAAACCATCAAGTCAAGAAGAGCATGGAGCAAAGTACTTCAAGTCTTGCAAGAAAACAAATTCCAACCCAGACTTTCTTATACCCTTGGTCCTTTTTTTTTCTTTCTAATGTGGAATAAGATGCTATTTAATTTTGTTCTTCCATAGCTAATATTTTTATGTATATGCTTTAATGATATTTTTCTTTACAAGAAGTTTTGGACAATATCATTTTTGTGCATCTTCGTATGATTTTATTTAAATGTCTTTGCATAAGGTTCATTTTTCTTGAAAATGTGGTATTATAAGTTGAACTAAATTCAGAAATGTTGAATCTTTAAATATTTATTGCTTACTCCTTTCTATTTTGAGAATTCTACTTACATGAATATAAGTTTTTGGTTTTGACACAGTGAACTATTACGACTGATCTGTAAATTCTTCATTTTTATTTTGGACAATTTTTATTGTTATATTCATTTATGTTTGTATATAATTTATTTTCAATTTGCAATCTATTAAAATTTTTTTAATTAAATAAATAAATAAATTGCAAGGGCCTGCAAGACAGCTCAGCAGACTAAGCGCCTGCTTAGGCAAGCACAAGGACTGGGGTTCAATCCCTGGCACCACATGCTGTGCCACCCCACCCCTGGGTACGCATACCTGTAATCCCAATGCAGGAGAGGCTGAAAACAGGAAGATCATTATGAGTCCCTGCTGTATAGTGAGACCCCATATCAGATATATAAATACATAAATAAATAAAAACTAAATTGTAATTATGCTTCACTATACCATTTGGTGATTTCTGTTCCTCTGCAGACACCAGAGCATATGTACACAGAACTAGACAGCATAGCTGACCACACCCTTGCCCCGTGATGTTTCAATGATACAAACAGCCCACTGTGCCATGTGTGCCACCGATTCCCAAGCACTATATGGTATGTACTGTGATATATGGCACAGGTCCCCACCCCTGAGGCTGCAGACCATTTCCGGTCTGTGGCCTGTTAGGAACCAGGCCACAGTGGGAGATGAGTGCTGGGCAAAGGAGAAGACCTTCATCTTGTCCACAGCTGATCCCCACAGTTCACATCACCACCTGAGCTCCGCCTCCTGTCGGATGGATGAAGGTAAGAGATTCTCACAGGAGCATGAACCCTACTGTGAAGTGCGCACCCAAAGGATCTAGGTTGTGCACTCCTTATGAGAAGCTAATCCCAAAGCCATTCTATAAACCAGTGTCTGGAGCCAAAAAGGCTGGACACTACTGGTAAGTGGGGTCCATTTTCAGCCCTTGTGGCACTTGCCTGTGTATGCAACAGACAGGCAAAACCAGAGATACTCCGCATAACGACAGGGAAGCCGAGGCAGAGTTGGCTGCAGTGCAGGCCCTGGCCCTCTCTGGTCCTCTCCCTCCAGACCCAAAGCCACCTGGAGCGGCGATCTCTCACACTTTCTGTACTGAGCCTGCTTACCGATCGATGGCGATGACCCCAAGGGTGAGCATGCTGGCTGAGCTGATGAGCAGGTAGAGAAGGGCGGAGAAGTTGCACCAGACCACGCCAAAGATCCATTCCCTCCGGATGGAGCTCGTCACCACGAAGGGCAGCACCAGCACGGACAGCAGGAAGTTGGACAGGGTCAGGCTGAAGACGAACTTGTTGCTGAGTGTCAGGAGGTAGGACTTCCGGTACAGGGTGACCACAATGACCAGGTTGCCCAGGCAGACAAACACGGTGATGATAATGATGGCGACAAGCTCCGTGACGATGCCCCCGCCCCCAGCCTCCTCAGCAGTGAGGTTGCTCAGCTCCTTCCTGTGGCCGAGGGAGGAGTTGGGGCTCATGTTCAGTGCACCTGGGTGCAGCCTGGGCGCAGCATGCTGAGCGACTGCGGAGGGGACAGAGAAGACTCATCAGAGCACGCCATCGCCTCTCTGTAGGACAGAAGGTGGGGCCAGTGTCCTGTTCCCCACCTATATCACGGGGCAGAGCCCTCCCACAAGTTCCACCTAAGTGGCCTATGTCCTGCAACCCATCTTGTGCAACTCACTGCATGTTCTTAAGTGATTCTCCTGCTCTCAGTCCTACCATCATGTGTACCTGGGATAACCCTGAGGCCCGTGCTGAAGGTCTGGTGCCACCGGGCAGAGGTGGAGCTTTTAGCAAGCGCAGTCTAGTGGCAAGTTTTGGGTCACTAAGGGCTGCCATGGAAGGGACTGTGGGATCTGGCCTCTCCCTCTTCACCGTCACTTTCCAGATGCCATGAGCTAAGAGGCTTTGCTCCATCTTGTGCTCCTGCTACAAGCTAATGGCCTGAAGTCTTCAAAAATGGAAGCCAAAATAAACCCTTTAAATGTATTTGTGATGCTAGGGATCAAACCCTTGGCCCCATGCCAGGCAGGCACTGAGCCACTGACTGAGCTACACCCCCAGTCCTAATCTTTCCTCTTTATAAGTTCATATCTTGGGTATTTTGTCACAGTAAGCAAAGCCAGCTAGCACAATGCCCCTACCCATTCTCCCAAAGCAGATTCAAAATCTTCCATGTATTTAAGAATCCCTTAAAGTGACAGGGCAGAGCCAAGACTGGTCCTGGAATCAGAGACACAGCCTGGAATCTGTACTTTAAACAAGCAGGCAGGAGCAGGTGGCTGCATGACAAGTGTCCCATGGGGGACAGGTGGGTCCTAAGCCAGCAGGATCTGTGTCACTGGGTTCTTACTAAAGATGCAGGGCTTCTGCATCAGGCCCACCTCTGCCTGGAGGACCAAAACCTACACTTTACCCCCAGGCTCTGAAGATCTGTGTGGACATTAAAGCTTGGCAATAAGATTATCACAGGAACTATTCCAAGCTCCCCAGCCAGGAGGAGTCAATCAAGTTCAATTCACAACCAGACACTGGTACTGTTCACACAGACATGGCGAGAGAGGGCAAGGATGCAAGCACTAATTGTAGGTGGGTAAGGAGAGGCACCACCCCAGGTCTTGGCACTCAGACATCACTGTCTCCAAGTCATGATCAATGTGCAACATGGGTAAATTTTAGACATACATTACAGCAAAAGACACATGACCATTAATCCTTCTCAAAATATGCCCCTCCTATTCAAACACACCTATCGATCATTCTTGCCACTTCTGAAGCAGTTCTGGAATCCTCCTTCTTGAGTGCCTTCCCCAGGGCTGATCACAAACACGGTGAAAACCGCAGCTGAGCACCATCCAATGGGAAGGCAGGCTTGGGGAACATCACAGTGCGTCCTCACCCACCTCATCCCCTGGATGTGAAGCCACGGGACTTCTGACCCTTTCCCAAAGTCAAAATGACCATGGAACACAAACATTCAGCAGTGCAGCTAGAGATACTCACAACAGAGGACTCCAGAACTGCTTCAGAAAGCAACAGTAAGGACTAGATAAGTGTGTTTGAAGTGAGGGAAATACTTTGAAGGGATTGGTGGCCATGGGTCTTGCATGTGTATGGAAGAAAGCACACAATGTGCCTTTTACTATATCAATTTTTTCTTTTTTATTTTAGGGAAGGTTCTACAGGATGTTCAGGGTCTCACTACTAGATCCGACTCGTACTGACCACCTGTTTACAGCCTCACAAGAGCAGAGATTACAGGCTCGCGCCATCATGGCCAGGCTAAATTGCTGTCTCAGCGCAGGGCCAGCACAGCAGGCTGGGGGATTAAACCCTGGCCCCTGGGTCTGCTTGCAGGCACTTTAATCTGCTGAGCTATTTGGCCAGTCCTTAAAGTTGAGAAGGATTTTTTTTTTTTTTGTTTTTCCTGGCTCAGGCTGCCTTAAGCATGGGTGTGGTGTGGCTTATGGAGCTGGGGACTGAACTGTGGTCCTACAAGCCTGACTGGGTTTGCTCAGGCAGGCGCTTAAGCAACTGAGCTAACTGGCAAGCCCTCTCAAATTTCTTAAAAAATTAAACATTCACTGTATTTTTCAATCACACCACATAGGAGATAGAGTCCCTACTCTCAGGAAACTGGCTCAGAATCTTGGCTCAGAATCAAGGTTGACAGATTTTTACATAAAATCCTATAGACGAATGTTTCTCCGAAACTTTTCATCCACTTTAATCAGCCAAAAAATCCCACAGAGTGCTACTCCCACCTGCTCTTGTTCTCCATGAGCAGAACACACCCAGAAGGCAGGCAAGACAGCTTCCCGTGTGCCAGACCCCAGGAGCATGGGCTGAGCAGCCGACACACGGCCGCTGGTGGGGCTCGAGCCCTCATGGGGGCACCACGGGTCACGGGGCAGTGCAGGTCATAAGGCAGCTGCCCCTTGCGGCAGTCCTGAGTGCCAGAGGAAGTGGTCCCCATGCAATGGGTCCCCATGCAATGCAGACCACTTAGGCTGCGGTCACAGCCATGACCCTTCCAAAGCTCCCAGAATCACCCACCTCCCCAGGTCCCTGTCATCTGTCACAGCACTGTTCCCAGACCCTGCACTAGCTCTCAGCCTGCACTTGATCACAATTGTCTACAACCCTCCTGGCATCTGATCCTCCACCAGCATTCTGGATGAGGTCTGGTTAGGGTCAAGAGTGAAGGGACAATTTTCCCCATGAGCAGGACAATTCTCCTAAAAGTCACTGTACAAGTACATTTTCTAGCAACTATATCACCCTCTTGTGCCTATGTGAGTGTGTGGTCACCTGGAACCCAAAGTTTATACATTCAAGAGCTTCTGTGAAGGCAGATGTCTCCAATCTTGAGCATATGGGATTAATGTTTTTATACCTACGTACAAAACATTGTTCCTAGTACATGTTACTCTATGTGCTTTGGCCCATATTTCCAGGCTGCTCCTAAGATATTCTGATTTTTAATTCAGTTACACAACTTCTTAGTTACTCTAGTTTTGTGCTGTGAGTATACTTTATTGGAGTGCCAGTTATGCCTGTCTTTGTAAGTTTGTTGCTGGGGTTTATATTTAGTTGGTAAGTTCTGGATTTTGTTGATGCTTACAAGAAAATTTTTATTTGGTGACTTAAAAATCTTTATATAACCATGTTATTGAGTTAACTGTACCATGGTTAAAAAAAGAGACTTGTATCTGAAACAAAGGAGAAAATGGAAGAAAAGTTTTACAACCTATAAAGTACTAAGTCAACCTAAATTATAATGAGCTCCTTAAAAAGCTGACAGAAAAATGGATGAAAGGCCAGAAGAGGATGTGCACAAAAGACATGAACAGAGACCAAGTCAAAGATATGCCAACGGTACAAGAAGTGGTCAAACTATTCAGCAAATATTTAAAGTTACGTATTACAGTAAAACACACTGCTATTAATTCCTCTCAAAATACTGTCCCTCCCTTCGATTATACTTATCCCATTGTTCTTGCCACTCTCTGAGGAAGTTCTGCACAAGTCTTCTCTCATGTTTTTATAAATTGTGAATTATGCTTCTGAGTGCCAGCCAACTGCAAGGCAGGCTTGACCAAAAACAACACAGTCTGTCCTTATCCACCTTATTCACCAGATCCGTGTGACTTCTAAGTGAGAAACATTTTGAACTCACTACCTCAGTTTGGACACAACTAAAGACAGTGTCATGGTTGGGGTTATGTAAGGGGAACAGTACAATACAGGACACATTTTATAATATTAGTTTATAAGGAATCACCCAAGAATCGTATACAACAAATGCAGGAAATCTACCCATGCACTGAAGACTGAAGAATACAGTTGAGAGCCTGGATCCTACTTCAAGTATCTGTGCCAGAAAGGCCCAGAGGTCAGTGGTGGGAGCTAGGAAGTCAATGCCAGCAGGGTGAAAGATCTGGGCTAGCAGGCTGAGGGATCTGAACTGGTGCTAGGAAGCAACACTCAGATAAGCACCAGAGCTCCCCCAAAAGTACCACAGCCATCCTCAGCAACAGTGAGGTCCTGAGATCCTCCAGTGATGAGGAAAGCCAACTTCCCATCAGGAAAGCCAATGCAACAAGCTTCTCCATACAGCTGAGCAGTGCACTACCTTCCCTCCACAGCCAGCAAGCGATGCTCAAGATGAGGACCAGAGCTCCTCCAAAGTTCACTGGGAAAGCCAGCGTGACAAGGTCCTCCAGCAGAACAGCCCAAGAGAACTGGCAGCTTCCAACAGCTCCAACAGCTTCTCCAAACAGCAGCCCGAACATCATTTTGACAGCCTCTTATAGTCTGCCTTTTATGTTACTGGTAATAATCCTCAGGTAGGCCTCCCACGCCCCGCACCAGGCTAGTTCAATTCAGCTGTGTGTAAGAAGTTAAGCACCAGTTAGCTCTCTACCACAACAGGAAAGAGGATTTCAGAACTTCTTAGTAAAGGAGTGAGAACAGGCTAGGTGTGTCTGAGGTGAAGGGGAGCATTTTGAGGGGGAGTCATGGATGTTGTGTTTTTTACCACAATACTTTTTCTAATTTAAATGTTCACTATATTTTTATTTTTACATGTTTTTAAATCACACATCAAATATAAATGATTGTTTCACCCACTCAAAATGAAACAACTGGACACTAAAACTACCAAAATAATTTTTTTTTTTCTTTTCAGATGAGCAACTTAAAAAGCATGGTAGCACTCTCCGTGGTCAAAACTGCCTGCTAGGGGCCGGGGAGATGGCTCAGTAGGATAAGCGCTTGACTGACAAACGCAAGGATCTGAGTTCAATCCCCGGTTCTGCCAAAAAAAAAA